TTTACATATTCATCGCAGGTTTTACATATCCATCGCAGGTTTTATATATCCATCGCAGGTTTTACATGTCCATCGTGAGTTTTACTAAAAATTATCCCTGTCGTATAATAATTGACAGCAAAAATTGCTGAATTGCGGAAGAGCATTGCCGCAATATAATGCGGCATTTCTATGCCGCAATCAACAATTTTTGCTGTCAACTAATAATTGAAACATTTGGCATTGTTTGAGATACATGCAATAATCATTCATAGCTACTTAAACACTCTTATTAAGCGAATTAAGGTGAAATTGAAAATATAAATACTGAGAAAGGATCCCAATCCTTTCGTAGCATATATTTCGCTTTTCTAACAATCAAGTCATATTCATATTAGAATTACAATCTTCATAAACTATAATATAAAAATAAATATATTAGAATACAAACAAAATAAATTAAAAAATGGATACCCAAAATATCATTGTTAACACTGAAGAAAGCAAATTTTGTTCTCGTTGTAAAAAAACTAAATCGGCTGTTGAATTTACAAAGCAGCGCGGGAATAAAACAGTAACATTTGCCAGATGTAATTCTTGTAATGAACAGGACAGACAAAGTAGGCAAAATGCCAGAGCCGCCATTGCTGAAAGTACTTCATTAGCCTTAAATGATGATGATGGTGATGAAACTGAAATTGACAATGATGAAAATAATGAAGACGAGCTTGTTTATGATTTTGGTGATCTTGAAGAACTGGTATCTGCTAACTTTAAAGATAGCGAAGAAAAAGTAACCATATAGAATTTTCTATAAAAGTAAAAATTGAAAGAGAGTTGGTTAATGAGAATATATTATTATCTGAATTTAACCATAATGAAGAAGCTGAAAAATTTTGTAAGATTATTAATATCTTGATCATGCCCATTGAAACAGGATCGGGATATTATTGGGAACTTCGATATTTGTATGTAAATAAAAAAAATGTCAATATATAGGGTGTACAACAGCCCACCTGGGTTGCACACAAAAGCTTGAACGTAAATATAAAAAATCGAATGAACAACCTGCAAAGCGGGTAAGTGAAGTGCGACCTGCTATAGAATGCTATCCATACGAGGGCACTATAACAATCAAAATAGACCTATGTGAGTGGTATGCTAAAATATTAATAAAGCACTTAATCGCCCATGAGCATTCCACGTATAGAGAAACAAATCTGCCGGTAAATGCTATAGCTTGGATAAAACAACATATTAATTATAGCTCACAAAGAGTTGAGTTTTATAAAAAACTTTGCGATGAAAATCTAATTGACCTATCAATACATACTTATCAACAAGTCTATTATTGGGTATACAAACTTTCAGCAAAGCAATATATAACCGATATAGGAAATCAAGTAAAATCAGCAAAAAATTTTCTAGAACAAGAAGAGCTAGAAAATACAGAATACAAAGTCATTCAATATCGAGAGAATGATTTTGTATACCCACTAGGATTCACAACTCCATTCCTTTATAATA